AACTTAACGTTTCTACCAAATCAACTCTTACGCTTCTTTCGTGCTCTCCAAACTTCCCGCGTGCTCCATAACTCGATAGTGCACGCTAAAGCATGAACCAATTGTTAATTAGAATTACGAAATTATATTAGGGGTCATGCGTAAAATTAATTCTAGACACAGATAGATTTTCTGTTGTCAGATCGGACTTCAGACTTAACACTTAGCTTCAAATTCGTCCTTTGACTCGGTACGAGTCAGACCCATGCCTCATGAGCCATGGATGTGATCAGTTTTCTGATTAGCTTTAAACTACACCTAAATCTTAAACGGGAGCTGTTAACAATATGGGTACCCAAAATAAGGAGTTTCTCGTAGACATCCTGTCATTAAAACAGCTACATGTCAAAGGAAACTTTTCCTTTATTTTTGTTTATTTTGTTTTTTGTATTTCCTACAGAAGCAATCGTAGCGGTGATTCTCTTTATTTGAGGCCGTGGAGGATTAAGAGATTTCGTAACATTTTAGGATTTAGATGTTGTTTTTTTTATCTCTTTCACCATTTTCGGGATTATGAAGAGTTAGGGTTGCAGATAACATGCCTGTCAATAAAAAAAAAAAAATAATATCTGCATGAATTATGATGACGATTCATGCAAAAACATTTCTGCGTCAGTCAGATCTGTTTGGATTGTTGAGAGGACAAGAATATTTCAAGCATTTCCCAAGCTTACTTCCTTTCCTATTTTGTAGCAGTAGTAAACCAACCATGAATGAAAGCCGCCCGCTCGAAATTCTCAGAGCAGCACCCATCGTTCTTTCAGTGTGGCTCTCCTTGTCCAGTTTTGCAACTGTAACTGAAAATGCAGTTATCTCGTGGTTGTTTTACAAAAACAAGTCTTTACGAACAACTTCCAACCGCTTTTTGGCCTCTTTGTCCGTAGCAGATTTTTCCGTCGTGCTTTCTGTAGGCCCTGTATGGATTGTCATCAGACATTCGACTCAGTCTTCGTTAACCGTCGTAAAAGTGTTGTGGTCTTACACAACCGCTGCCACTACTTTCAACATTTGCTGTGTTTCTGTCGACCGGTTTATGGCCATTTGTTTTCCATCCCGTTATCAGGAAATTGTAATAAAGAAAAGATGTCACACAGTCATTATTTTGGTGTGGTTGTTTTCATTGGGTCTTCCCTTCTCGGCGTTTTCGGTAAATGATGAGGACAAAATTAATCTTCTAGTGTTGTGTATTTCGCTTGCATGTATAACCTTTGTTATTCCAATTGTGGTAGTATCATGTTCGTATATTTTTATTTTTAAATCTGTCAAAAAGCAACTACATCGAATATTAGCAGGGGAAAGTCCTACAACATACAACGACAATTTTAAAATTTGTACTATGCTAAATCTTAAAGCTATGAAAACAATCGGTTTTGTTTTGAGTGCTTGTATTATTACATGGCTTCCAAGTTTAGTTCTTCTGTCAGTAGATTGTTATTATACCGCGATAAAAAAAACAGTATTTATTGATCCTTACCTTGTGGCCTTGGGTTGAGGCAATCGCTTTTACATCATCAGCAATCAATCCGTGAATATATTATTTTCGAAATCAAGAGTTACGCAAAGCTTTTCGCCGTACCTTTCGCTGGTTACCATGCGGACACAGCAAGGAAAGAACAAGAAAAACTAAAAAACCCGCCTGATGGCACTAAATAGTGTGAAAACTTAAGATATAGAAAACAAAGAGACAGAGCTCTGAGGAAATCTCAAAGGAAACAGGACTCTTCCCGCCACTGATAGACGATGTTGAAACGGACTAACTGTTGTTTTTATTAGCATTTTTTTGGTAAAAGTAAAGACTTTGAATCTGATTAAAAATCCTCTTGGCATCAAAGCTTAAATTTGCTATCTCTTGGCAACAAGTAGTATGTTCCCACTTTCAAAATTCAACATCCCCATTCACTCAAAAAAAAGGGAAAAAAAAAGATTGAAAAAGAAAAAAAGGCAGGTTTGAGAGTGGATATGTATAACACTCGCAGGATCACAGAATTGATAAATTATCTTTCTTCTCCCTCCGCAAACTTTCTAAACTTTCATTGTGAAAGATTGCTTCATTCATACATCTTGACGGCATTATTGCCACCACTGACAAACGACTAATGTTTGGTGACAGGAGCAAAATTACGACTTGAATTACTCATCTGATATGACAAAAATGAGGTATTTGTATAATATTTAAATTTACTCAGAAAGAGAGTTTTGCAAAATAAGCTTGAAAATTAAGACTTCCGTTAGATCATAGACTGTTTGTGAGGGATACAAGGCTTGTAATCAGACGAAGATGCGTGTCGAGAGAAACTTTTCTGTTAATTTTACCATTTTGCTTTCTACAAAATCGATCGTAGCGGTGATTCTCTTTGACGAAAGTGAGTAGTAGAGAACGATTAAGTCTTTGATCAAGATTTTGAAACATCTCAGAGAGGTGATGTACTTTGCTTCTCTTTCGCATTTTCGGAAACTTTAATCTTAAATTAATGAGACATGCCTGTCAACAAATAGAGCATCTACATGAAAATACTACAATGATTCATGCAAAAAATTTCAGTTTCAGTAACATCTGTTTGTTTTGTTGAAAAAGTAAGCCTGAAATTTCAAGCATTTCCAAGCTTTCTTTCTTTTCTCTGATATAACGGCATACGATTTTACCATGAGTAATAGCTGCCCCCAAGAGCATCTCAGCAGTGCATCATCCATCTTTTTCTCAATGTGGCTGTCCTTGTCCAGTTTTGCAGCTGTAACAGGAAACGCAGTTATTTTGTGGTTATTCTACAAACACGTCTTTACGAACAATTTCCAACCGTTTTTTAGCCTCTTTGTCAATGGCACACCTTTTAGTTGGGCTTGCTGAAGGCCCTGTGTGAATCGTCATCACATGTTGGATTAATCCTCCACTTTACACAGTGTTGTCTGCCTTTGCATTCATTTTGTGGGTTCACACAAACGCCGCTACCACTTTCAACATTTGTTGTGTTTCTGTCGACCGACTTATTGCGATTCGGCTTCCTTTCCGCTATCAAGACATTATAACCAAGAAAAGATGTTACACAGTGATTGGTAATCATCTTTATTGAGGAAACTTTTTCATAACAGATATGGTTTTCAAAAAGGACCTCGAAACTAGACATATATAGTAGAAACAAGAAAGCAATAAAATTGCAAAGAGATTAAAAGGATACAAAAAATGCATAAAAAATTAAAAATCAAAAATATATTAAAAATAAGTATAAATAAAAATTAAAAGTAAGTAGCTATATTAAAAACTTAAAAACATTACGTCTAAAACTATTGACATTCTTTGAGTCTTTGATAGTCTGACTGAGGGAGTTAAAATCGGAAACGGCATGATATTGTGATCTTTGCTTCCCCCAATTTCTTTTGACACGCGGTAATCTAAAATTGCCTTTGTTACGTGTATTATGCCTATGAAGTACGTCTTGTCTAATCAAGTCCATATTGTGATTAGTTAGGCCATTGATGCATTTGTATACGTGTACACATCTTCTTTGAAATCGCCTTTTCTCTAGAGGCAGCCACTTGAGAACGGCTAACGCCTCAGTGGAGGATGAGTAGAATGGTCTATTTAAAATAACTTTAGCGGCCTTATTTTGCAAAACTTGCAAACTAGACATAAGGGTAATATTATGTTTATCGCCCCATACTAGATCAGCATATTCAAAAAGGGGCATAACAAGACCTTTATAGAAAAGTAAACGCGCCCTGAAAGGCAATAAATGCTTTATACGCTTGAGAAGCCCAAGCCTCTGATTGATTTTCCCAGTTAGGTGTTCAATATGATCAGTCCATGTGAAATCCGAAGATATATGTATACCGAGGTATTTAAAGCTGCGAACATTACTTACACTATGATCTAAAATTGAAACAGACAAATCTACTTTGCTTTCGCGTTTCCTATTACTACCGATAAGCATGCATTTAGTTTTGTCCAAATTTAAAGTCAGTTTGTGATCATGAAGCCATTTCGCCACACCTAGTAGATCGTTANGCCAACTCTTACGCTTCTTTCGTGCTCTCCAAACTTCCCGCGTGCTCCATAACTCGATAGTGCACGCTAAAGCATGAACCAATTGTTAATTGGTAATCAAGTACTGATACAGCTGCAAGTGTACCGCTCTCTCCAAAATCTTACTTAATGTAGGGAGGATTGAGATTTTGGTATGGCTTCTTTCTTTAGCTATTTCTTTCTCGATGTTACTGGTAAAGCTCTCGTCGGAAGAAGACGATGAAAAAAGATACTTTGTTGTGCCGTGGATTTGTTTTGCATTTATAACATTTGTTATTCCATCACTTGCAGTTTCAATTTCCTACGTTTGTATTTTTAAATCAGCAAAAAAACATTTTCAAAGAATATTAGCAAGAGAAAATCATACAAAATGCGGCGACAGTTTGGGAGTTCGTACAATACAAAACCTTAAAGCTATCAAAACAATCGGTTTTGTTTTGGGTGCTTGTATTATCACATGGATACCCAGTTTAGTTTTGCTGCTTGTTGATTGTCATTATGCCTTGGAAAATAACTGGGCTAAAATTTGTTTATTGTACCGTTTTGCTTGGCCCTGGGCTGTGACAATCGCTTTTACTTCATCAGCAATCAATCCATTTATTTATTACTTTCGAAATGAAGAGTTTCGCCGAGCCTTTCGCCGTACCTTTCGATGGTTGCCCTGTGGACACAGCGGGGAACGCACACAACAAACAGGACTTAAACCAAGTCAAAACCCGATGATAGGAAATGGTTTGAGATCTGGGGATGTAGCGATTGAGGAGACTAAGCTTTGAGGAAAAAATAACTCGAAGCAAGACTTTGCCTCCCTTCGAGAGATGATGTAGAAACTGAAGAAAGGACCGAAACTTTAATTTCTCCATGTAATTTTGTGGAAAGGTCTAATAATAGACAGTTAAAGTTTAATTTTGAAAAAAAAAAAGAATTTTTGAAGAATGCCAAAATGCATCTTCTGTCAGTGGTACGTATACCGTATTATGTTACTGGACTCTATGGAATTTGCGTTACCGATGAGTTTAAGGTATCAGCAACGTCCAATAAAACAATCGGTTTTGTTGTAGGTGGTTGTTTTATCACATGGATGCCCAGTTTATTTTTGCTGCTCATTGGCTGTTATTATGCCTTAGGAAATAACTGTGGCCCTGGGTTAAGAGAGTAGCTTTTACTTCGTCAGCAGTCAATCCTTTTATATATTATTTTCGAAAAGAAGAGTTCCGCCCAGCCTTTCGCTGTATCTTTCGCTGGTGGCCCAGTGGACGTACCAGGGAACGAGTACCACAAATTGGGCTGAGACCAAGTCGAAGCCCGATGATACGAAATGCTGAGTTCTCCAGATAAAACTATTAAAGAGAGAGAACTGCGGTTATGAAGCGTATATGTGCACGATTCTTCGCAGTAAAGCACTATTTAAGTAATAGTGAAAATCAGACCTGAAAAAAATTCAGGCCTGTACGGGATTCGAACCACTGACCTCTGCGATACTAGTGCAGCGCTCTACCAATTGAGCTAACAAGCCAACTGGGAGCAGGCCATCAAATTAATTCGACATAAACCCGTAGATGATAAATCAAACAACAAACATATGAAATACATATATATGAACTGCGGTTATGAAACGTATATGTGCACGATCCTTCGCAGTAAAGCACTATTTAAGCAATAGTGAAAATCAGACCTGAAAAAAATTCAGGCCTGTACGGGATTCGAACCACTGACCTCTGCGATACTAGTGCAGCGCTCTACCAATTGAGCTAACAAGCCAACTGGGAGCAGGCCATCAAATTAATTCGACATAAACCCGTAGATGATAAATCAAACAACAAACATATGAAATACATATATATGAACTGCGGTTATGAAACGTATATGTGCACGATCCTTCGCAGTAAAGCACTATTTAAGTAATAGTGAAAATCAGACCTGAAAAAAATTCAGGCCTGTACGGGATTCGAACCACTGACCTCTGCGATACTAGTGCAGCGCTCTACCAATTGAGCTAACAAGCCAACTGGGAGCAGGCCATCAAATTAATTCGACATAAACCCGTAGATGATAAATCAAACAACAAACATATGAAATACATATATATGAACTGCGGTTATGAAACGTATATGTGCACGATCCTTCGCAGTAAAGCACTATTTAAGCAATAGTGAAAATCAGACCTGAAAAAAATTCAGGCCTGTACGGGATTCGAACCACTGACCTCTGCGATACTAGTGCAGCGCTCTACCAATTGAGCTAACAAGCCAACTGGGAGCAGGCCATCAAATTAATTCGACATAAACCCGTAGATGATAAATCAAACAACAAACATATGAAATACATATATATGAACTGCGGTTATGAAACGTATATGTGCACGATCCTTCGCAGTAAAGCACTATTTAAGCAATAGTGAAAATCAGACCTGAAAAAAATTCAGGCCTGTATGGGATTCGAACCACTGACCTCTGCGATACTAGTGCAGCGCTCTACCAATTGAGCTAACAAGCCAACTGGGAGCAGGCCATCAAATTAATTCGACATAAACCCGTAGATGATAAATCAAACAACAAACATATGAAATACATATATATGAACTGCGGTTATGAAACGTATATGTGCACGATCCTTCGCAGTAAAGCACTATTTAAGCAATAGTGAAAATCAGACCTGAAAAAAATTCAGGCCTGTA